ATAAAAAATGGGTATAACAATCTGTCCATAGCTTTTCTTGCATCCAAGTATATGCACAAGTTCTTTCAAACACCATGTGGAGGAAGCATAGTCTTTTGAGAAAATGACTAGTGCAAGTTTCGATTTCTCGACTGCTTCTAGAAGGGTAGGTCCAATGTCATCACCTTTCTCAAGTCTGTTATCTATGTAGGTGTCAATGTTCTTCCGAAGTAAAGCCTTGTGAAGATGGCTGGTAAAAGCATCGCGTGTGTCCTCACCTCTGAAACTAAGAAACACATCGTACTTTTCTCGAAGGGGAGCAGGAAAAGGAAGAGAAGAAGAAGAAGAAGAATCCATATCCCTATCCAAAACCTGCAAACCTGTCAAAACATGCATATATGCAAATAACGCTAGGTCCAAAAAATCTCCACAAACAAGTATAAGAGAGATAATAATTAAGTTAGAGCCAGTACCTCAAGATCAAGAAAGAAGCTGCAGAGATATTAATCGCCTTATCAGCAAATATTAAGAATGAAATAGTAGTATGATTATGAAGACCTCAGGATGAATCTAGAAAGAAGTGGTAGAGCTTATAGCTATATCATGTTTTAGCAATCGTACAAAAAGCAGAACGGAAAAACAATGGAAATTACGAAAAGGAAAAATCCCAGAAAATAATCCGACTCTTTCAAGCCATCCAACTCTTTCTTGATCTTGACTAAGAAAAGCACTGACAAAGCCCAGAAAATAATCCGAGATGGAAAAAGAGAAGTGAAATAATTACCCAAGCAGTGTCGGTGGACAAAAATTCAAGCATTTCACACACTGAAGAAAAGGACAAAAATTCAAGCATTTCACACACCCAAGTAAAATGACTAGATTTCATGCGCAATCAATGAAGAATATAGATGTTGTTTTCTAACTTGAAAGATTAAGGTGGGCTATTCATATGAGGTTGATGTCTAAAACTATCCCCATTAATCCCCTCGAAAAATGAAGGGATTAGTAGGGATAAATTTTAGGCATCAACCTCCAATGAATAGTCCATCCTAATCCTCTAAGTTAGAAAACAACACTCATACTATTCTTTGATTGCACATGAAATCTAAGCACTTTACAAGCTTCTGAATTCTTTGAATTTTTTTCTTTGATTCTTTGAAAGGCCAATGCAATGCATATTTGGGTTTTTGTAAAGTCTATTGATTTCTTTTTTATTATTGAGTTAGCTAAATACACTGGCCCATTCTCTAAGACTTGATCAATGGGCTGAGTTCAACTAAGGTTGTAGACAAGGTTCTTATTTTAGTTTTAGTAATTTATTTCTATGTTAATTGAGGAAAGAAGATTCGACTTACAACCTTTATTTTTTTTAATTTGCAATTATCTAATTCCATACCTCATATTTTCCATGGTTTGCAGCTAGGCCAAACTTCTTGGTCTTTTTTGCTTCTTTTGATGGTACCCTGCTCAGGGACCTGATTGGTAACTTGAGGGTTGAAATCCACTTCGTTTGTCATTTATAGATCTGCAGTAAACATATACAACAATCAGCAAATCAGATCTATTAGGAGAGTAAAAGAAACACAAATATAGACTTTGGGGCAACCTGCAGTGGTGGTGGTGGTGGTATTGCGAAAAGAAGGACTCGAGAGAAATGGTTGCTTCGTTTCATCTTTTTTCTTCTCTAATGAATAGAGTCTACATGAGAAAGAGTTGTTTCGTTTTCCAAGACCCAGGCACCAATTAAATGCCATGTTATTAAAACTCTTTTGTTTTTTGGATTAGGAAAATCTAAGTATTAGGGTCCAATTAAAGGCCAATTAAGACAAGCCACGTTTAAAGCAAGTTTTGAGCAAATTGTTTGTGTTGCTTTGCTTTTTTGTTTTTTGAATCCCAAGGCGGATGACATTAATTTATTGGAAAAAAAAATTTATATATATTTTTAGAGAAAAACAAGACTATATATTTTTGGGAAATAACTCTAAATGCCACCTTTTTTTATATATATTTTTTTAAAATACCACCTCTTCCCAATTTTTTTGCAACTATCACCTATAAATATATATTTATTGTCCACTTATTGCACACATATCACTTTTCTCTGGAATTTAGTTCTCTCTCAGCTCCCTATTCACTCTCTCCGTGTTCACTTGCTCTCTCTCTCTCTCTCTCTCTCTAGCTAACTACGCCTCTTCTCACAAAGAAGAAGATCAAGAACAACCTACAAAACCCAAAGCTTTGCCCTCAAAACCCAATTCTTTATCTTCCTCTCTGTTTTCTTCTCTACCCAAATCCAAACCCCAACTTCGTATCTCTTCGAATCCCTTTCGCAACCTAAACAAACCCAAACAAAACCATCTTTTCTGAATATGACAGCATGTCTTGGCATTAGGTGGCCATTGTTTGAGCATTTTGGTCCAATTTTGGGTAGTTTTGAAGTCTGGGTTTACATGCCCTCTTCAAGAACAGCTTCTCCAAAAAATGAATTGTTGGGAATATGTAAGTTTTGATGTTAAATTGAATTTGATTACTGAAATTGGAATTGTGATTGATTTTGTCTGTATTTTGTGTAGAACATGAAGTATTGGGATTGATTTTGTTTGACTGAAACCACAAATGAGTTTGTTCTTTGTCGATTGATTCTTGCATTTGGTATTGGGATTTTCTATGAACTTATAATTATATCATAGTGAGGTAGCATTGTTGATTTGCTATTGCAATCGTATTGTGATTTTATTGCGGTTGTATTGTCGTGGTATTGCTTTTTATTGCTATGGTATTGCTTTTTATTGCTATGGTATTGCTGTTATATTGATTTTTTTTGGATTGATATGTTATTGTAATTTAATAGGAATATATGTTGATATCATTTTTCTTTATCTGCTTGTGATTTGAGTAGGAGTTGAGATTATTCTTGGCTGAAGTATTATTTACGATATATATATCTCTCTCTCTCTGCTCTTCGTATTTTTCTCAACATTTATGTGTTAATTTAATGCATGATATTGTTTTGGAACCATAATCATTGTCAATCTCATTGTTTCTTTAAAAGATTGTTGTGAAATTGTTACTTCATTTTCTTCTTTCCTTTGTTTTTAGTTATTTTTGTTTGAAGAAAAAGAACTCTGTTTTTGTAATCTAAAAGACTAGGTATCTATGTCCCACATCTTGGGACTGATTGAATGTGCTTTTTGATATTGAAAGGAAGCTGGCATCTTTGGTTGAAAAAATGAAGGTGTTACTGCTGAAGTAATTTTTACTTGATTTCAATTTGCCTATAAAACTTGTTGACTGGTGCTCAACAAGTTGGGTTTTTGTAGCTTGAGTTGGCGTATAATTTAGGTTCGTTTTTTGCATGTGAGTGTTTTAATGGATTGGATCTTCTACTTGTATGTTTGTCAAATCTCAATCATGTTTCTTAGATGAGTTGTGTAGTAGTGTTGGTTGAAATTAATATGTTATTTATTCATTGAAAGCATATTGTTTCTCGACGGTGAGTACTTGACCAAATTATAATTTACTGCAGTTTTGTCTTGACAATTTATGTTTCTTTCTCTTTTTCTCTTCAAATTGCACAAGGAAAAGAAAAGCCATACCCACACTACTACAAAAAGTGACAAAGACGACCAGAAAAAAACGACGGTCTAAGTGAAAACCATCGTC